CGTCTTCAGCGCCAGTACCCATTAGTCGTATTTGATTTGTCTTGCCATTTAAAGACTTTAGGTTTAGAAATAGAATGTAATAGACGATATGGGAAATGGTTTCATCGTAAACTGATGCATAATTCACTTCGCCCTTTTTGGGGCTTTGGTGAATCTCATCGCTTCCGAGCTATTTGCCATAGGTGTTCCAAAACTTAAAGGCGCAAAAAACTACTAGTTGGTGCTACCAGCTCGAAAATTAACTATGTATTCTACAATTTTCAAAGAACTGTGGGCCCATATTTCCCTTAACTTTTTGCAGTTCCTAGATTCATTAGGAAATTAACGCTACAATTTTTGAATTGGACACGATAATTAAATTACATTGTTCGTTTACTCGACTTATCCAACCGATTATGTTATACGTATGTGGAAATCGCCGTTGGATTTTTCCACTTATTCCGACTGGGTTTTTAATTCTATCGAAACTCCATCTACGAAGTGGGAATAAATTCTTCGGCTCAAATCTCGCACAGGATTAAGAAATAAATATGAATATAAAAACTGAGATCCACCAGCCTCACGGAATAACCCTGTAATTTTTACGTCCTGTCGCGGACAATGAGTAGTATACAAATATTGGTTGATTTGCCCGCAGGGAGTGCTGATTAAAAAGTTAAGAGACTAGTCTACTTTACGCTGCTGATGGCTCATCAGTCGGTCCTCCGGTGTCCTTGTGTGTTTTCTGGCGGTCCTGAAAACTGGAAAACAGCAGGCCCGCTGATAAGACCGTCGTCTTGTAACGACCAAAAATTGGCCTTTTTCTACTAGGCACGCTGGGAGCATGGAATACTGGTCATTATGAATATAACGCTCAGTGCAAAGACCACCTATTATAAGCACGGAAAGATAGTAACATGTTTTTGGATTTATTTGGTAGCCTATACTTGTGTCTAGTAGCTCGGACCTTTGTGCTGATTTCATTGATAACCCTAAATTAAGTCTAGCTGGTGGGTCATCACGTCTACCAAACGAGGATTACTAAGTGCCTCACTATCTATTCCCTACCGCAGTACATATTTTTAATCATATAGGATTGGGTGTGCACCCGTATCAGAGGTACGACTGCCTGAATGAAACGCGCGTAAACCCGGGACAGAGCCGTCCCTGATTTGCGTACTCTCTCCAATTTGCATCTATTGTTCGCTTTGTGGCAGAGTAGACGATCGCCTGCCTGTCATATCCAAAACACCTTTTAGAAACATTTTGCTCTGGAGCAAGGCAGATAGGGATATACCTTTTACTTTTTGAATAGCATCGAGTACGTTTCGTCCTCACAGTATATAAATTTTTGAAGTATGTCATTCCTTTTATCCTATCGTGCAGACAAATTAGGTTTCATAAATAACATTTTTCCCCCAATGGAGTGACGCTGGCCGACCGACTAGATCAAGTATTTCAGAGGTTGAATGTGTTATTTATCTTCGGCTCCGTTTTTGTTACACTAGATCACCATCAGTGTGTTTCTATAGTCTAATTTGGCCATTTTCGTTGAGAAGTTATGAAAAAGACAACTCTTCACTTCCCGCTCTGGGTGCTAGAGCCGTCCTCTTCTCTTAGAGCAAGGTATAAAATGCGTTGTATTCAGCTATTTCTGTCGTCGAGTCCATCTTTTATTAGCACTGCTTAGAGCTTCTGCATTACGACCCTGTGGAAGGCCATACTTCGTGCATAGCCCACAAGTGCGTGTTAAATAGTTCATTCGCCCTTGGACACCTACGATGCAGCTCACCTAGTTAGTTGTTTTTGTCTTACAGGATCTTCTCCAAGCCCTGGAACTCCTCAAAAAGCAAGGTGCTTTGAAAATGGCACCCATAACGGACGAGTTGATCGAGGAATTCCGTGCCGCCTGCGCAAAACGCTTCCCCCTGGCTGCCGTTTTCCTTACTCCCTCAGAATGGGAGGAGTTACGTAAATCGGCTGTCGAGGCCTCATACGAGTCAGCCCTCTATGGTGCATACCCTCAAACCGTTGCTGCTGGTGATGCAGAACGTTCAACCGTCGTCGAGAATGAGCTTGCTCCTGGGCTGAAGGCAGTTTCCCTAACCGAGCAGTCAGTTGTCAATGGGAGCAGCGGCGGGGCAGCTGTGGACAGTCCAACCTTGAATAATGCTCAACAATCTAAAGGCAAGGCTGGTAAACGCAAGAAGGGAGCAGTCAATAAGGGGAAGGACCCTGCCTCCGTTACGGCTGTATAGTTTGTGTACATGCGATGGTAGCGATGGGGGTTGTATTTTCCGTGTTGACCAGCAGTGCTGCCTTTTATCAAAACTTCGCAGACGCGGAAATGCTGTGCTAGAAGGTTGCGCATCTAGTTTTTGGCGCACCCCTGCGATGTAATTCCTTCCTAAACCAACAGTGAGACTGATCAAAGACGGTTTGCCTAATCCTGCAGCCTTGTTAGTGTTCTCAACCTCTTTTGTACAGCTCTGCTCCGGTTGTTGTTTGGTTCTGTTTTGTGATGTACAGCGCCCCTTGTGCATTAACTATGCAGCCTGTGCCAATACAAGTGATCTTCACCTGTTCTTGGATTGAATGAGTGCTTAGGGTAATTGTTTCCCTTCTATTTGGGTGGGTTTTGAACGTAATATGGAGTTGGTGTGATCTCACTTCTAAATGACAGCCTTGTATAGTTATTTGTGGCAGTTATTGATTTGACAAGGGAAGAAGTACGTCCCCCCTCCTTTTTTACGTGTGTCTAATTGTCGCGAATTAAAGGCGGAATAGAATCATCATTATGACTGCATACGCACAAATCATGCGAGTGATCAGTGAGTAGTATATTTCGTGTTGTTGGGGCTCCAGGGCTTGGATGGATTTCCATATCCGTCTAGGTCATCGCTGCAAGCGAACCTTGAAACACACCTGTGTCACGAGTTCTATGCAGTTGAAGTAAACTGGGAAGAACTGTGATCTCATCATAACAGTGGGTTCTGTGGAAAGGTGAACAGATAGCCACCTGACACGGGTTCAGGGGTCTTTTTTTCGATTTCAAGCTATCCGTATAGGTGTTAAGGGTTATTACGATCTCTTGGCCATCCTATCGGAAACTCTTTGAAATCTACAATGTAGTTTGTGGGCAATGGAAATTTGTCA